TCAGAGTCTGGGAGAACCATTGTGTGTGAGGGTCGTAACACCACTCTGCAGTGTGGTTCGGGTCAGGTGTTGATGATAGACGGTGGCTTCTACGGTCGTAAGAGTATTCATTACTGTCGATCCAAGTTCCCTCCACCAGCATCCCCACAACATGAGTGCGGCTGGGCGGACGCTGTAGAATCAATTACAGGTAAAACACGGTCAAATGGCGTCTGAGTGCAGCAACTACAGAGATAACTTCATCATTATTTCATTGTTGATCTTGTAATTCTAATTTATGTGCGAGCGGTCTAATCTGCACAGTGATCATAGCGTCATAATGGTCCCTCTCATTAAACCTGCTGAACTCGGGTAGGAAAACAAACACTGGCGCCTTATAAAAGGTTCTGCATGAATGAAAACTGTGGTGAAATTCTATCCACGTAGAAGCCTTATCTCTTACATCACAAAGAACACACTGTCTCACTGGAGCCCCTTCTTTGTAAAGATAATTGCCCATCGGGACATTTACGTAAGAACGCAAACAACAATGGCTTAAAAGCTTAATTGTCAGTAAAGATACATAGATGATTTCCATCTATCAGAGTAAATATTGACTTTTGAATTTAACTGATGACTGAAGCAGGCGGCCGTTTGTCATCGTTTAACGTTGATTCCATTTCATCCTGTTCGGGCACTGGGAGGACTTTTCAGCACGCATTGTGGTTTGGAGCGCATTCACCTTTTTAAACTGCACATCCAATCTATAGCATCTTTAGTGACGTACAAAATCATTAAACACATACAATAAAAAGCACATTTCTACATATGGATTAGTACCAGGCACTGTCCCACCTTTTATCTACTATGCTGCGGATGTGCCTCAGCTAAAATGACTGACTAACTGCAGACCACCATTCAAAGTATCAGTTTGGAATATTCATGGCTTTCACTCAACTGCAAACAAAAGCCTTTTATCAGGCTTTACTGGCTATTTATAATTTCTACATCCATAAGTCTGGTAAGCCTTCTGGTATTCCTTGTCAAAATTAGAACAACCAGAAACCAGATATGGTCCAATCAAATCATCTTTTTAAAACAAGCTATCTGTGAAAATTTAGTTCGATTTAATTCAATTTAGTTTTATTCCTATAGTACCAAATCACAATAACAACCACCTCAAACTGTATACAGCGAAAACCTCAACAATCACATGAGCCCCAGTGAGGAAGCACTTGGTAACAGTGGGAAGGAAAAACTGACGCAAGCAGTTTGGAGTGAGAGGAAAGAGGCAGGACAAAGACGCACAGTGGAAGAGAGCCAGAGATTAATAATAATAACAACTAATGATTTAAATGCAGTGAAGTGTATAAACAGATAGAGAGTGAACAAAGGTGACTGAAGAAGAAACACCCAGTGCATCATGGGAGTCCCCCAGCAGCCTACACCTATTGCAGCATAACTAAGGGAGGATTCAGGGTCACCTGGTCCAGCCCTAACTATATGCTTTAGCAAAAAGGAAAGTTTTAAGCCTAATCTTGAAAGTAGAGATAGTGTCTGTCTCCTGAATCCAAACTGGAAGCTGGTTCCACAGAAGAGGAGCCTGAAAACTGAAGGCTCTGCCTCCCATTCTACTTTTAAATACTCTAGGAACAACAAGTAGGCCTGCAGAGCGAGAGCAAAGTGCTCTAATAGGGTGATATGGTACTACAAGGTCATTAAGATAAGATGGGGCCTGAAAATTCAATTCCTCGTATGTGAAGAGCAGGATTTAAAAACCCTTTAGTCTTTGTCTTGATGCATGCTCAATCATCCAGGTAAGTAAATTCCAAAAGTTGATTCTGTTCATCTGGATGTTCAAGGTTCAAGGTTCAAGGTTCTTTATTTGTCACATGCATAGTTATACAAGTATAACACACAGTGAAATGTAGCCTGACATGCTCCTCGACATGAGCAAAAATTGGGGGGTGGTGTAGAGGAAGAACATTATATATATATATATACTAGGGGTGCAACGATACACAAAATTCACGGTTCGGTTCGGTTCGATACTTTGGTGTCACGGTTCGATATTTTTTCGATACAAAAAAAATGTTCATGCCTTTTTAATTTGTCATTTATTAAAATTATAAATATATATTTTAACTCAAAAGTACAGTTTTTAAATTTAATGTTGCTGAAACAAAAATAATTAAAAAAATAAATATATCTGATTGAGGAATCACTCATCTTTGGAAAAGAGAGTTTATTACAGAGAAATGGCTCTTTCCAAAATAAAAGCTATACTATACGCTTCTTCTGGGCTATATTCTCAGCAGCATATTGTAGCGGGTCAGGGCTGTTCAGGGTTCTGTTTGTACAGTTATGTTTTGTTTATGTTGCCATAGTGACGGGTGACGCCTTCTCGCTGCGACGGTGTGTCCTTCCGGGGTCAGAGGGCGCTCTGTGTGTTGTTGTTGTTGTTGCTGTGCGGTTGCCGCGCTGAGCAGTTAGCTAGCGGCAGTGTTCTTCTGCAGATGTCAATAAACGGCTGTGCTCCCTGGCTAGCTCACGGGAAGGAAGACCAAACAACACCTCCGTCTCCTCGTTGTCTGAGCTCGCCACATTGGTGTCAGAAGTGGGATGATGGTGGCACCCCATGTTCTGACCCGAGTGACTTTTCCCCCGCCGGTCGTGACCGGCCGGTGCGCCAAAAGAAGGCACCTGGACATTTGCAGGACTTTGTGTGGGGCAATGGGGTCGTCGGGGACGACTGACCCCTTAGGCGGGGGCTATGTAGCGGGTCAGGGCTGTTCGGGGTTCTGTTTGTACAGTTATGTTTTGTTTATGTTGCCATAGTGACGGGTGACGCCCTCTCGCTGCGACGGTGTGTCCTTCCGGGGTCAGAGGGCGCCCTGTGTTGTTGTTGTTGTGGCTGTGCGGTTGCCGCGCTGAGCAGTTAGCTAGCGGCAGTGTTCTTCTGCAGATGTCAATAAAGGGCTGTGCTCCCTGGCTAGCTCACGGGAAACAAGACCAAACGACACCTCCGTCTCCTCGTTGTCTGAGCGCGCCACATTAGTGTCAGAAGTGGGATGATGGTGGCACCCCATGTTCTGACCCGAGTGACTTTTCCCCCGCCGGTCGTGACCGGCCGGTGCGCCAAAAGAAGGCACCTGGACATTTGCAGGACTTTGTGTGGGGCAATGGGGTCGTCGGGGACGACTGACCCCTTAGGCGGGGCTATGTAGCGGGTCAGGGCTGTTCAGGGTTCTGTTTGTACAGTTATGTTTTGTTTATGTTGCCATAGTGACGGGTGACGCCTTCTCGCTGCGACGGTGTGTCCTTCCGGGGTCAGAGGGCGCTCTGTGTGTTGTTGTTGCTGTGCGGTTGCCGCGCTGAGGAGTTAGCTAGCGGCAGTGTTCTTCTGCAGATGTCAATAAACGGCTGTGCTCCCTGGCTAGCTCACGGGAAGCAAGACCAAACGACACCTCCGTCTCCTCGTTGTCTGAGCTCGCCACATTGGTGTCAGAAGTGGGATGATGGTGGCACCCCATGTTCTGACCCGAGTGACTTTTCCCCCGCCTGTCGTGACCGGCCGGTGCGCCAAAAGAAGGCACCTGGATATTTGCAAAGTGAAAGCAAAAAACAAGCGCAAATTCAAACGCGATTTCAATATGTCACATATTGACAGTGGCTCACCGATGCCAATGACATAATTACCCAGCTACATTTCCGAAAGAATGCAAAAGCATTGACATATATTTTTCCTTCCTACAATAGCCCGACGGGCAGGGCAGAGATAGATTTTGGTAGCCCGACTGGAAAAATCGCTAGCCCGATTTTGCAAGCCCTGTGTTACAGGCATGGCCCTTTAAGGATGAAGCCTGATGGGAAATGTATTCGGGATGTGTGTAGCGGGACTGCCTGGTGTGTGTGTGTGAAGAGAGAGAGCGGAGAAGGGGAAAAAGTAACGGTTAGCTACAGAAGAGACGGAAAGAAAATAAATAAAAGGAATATAATAACTCCCTCGACAGCCAGAGTTGTGTCGGCGATGCTCGCTGTGAGTAAACTGTTTCAGCCCACTGTACGCTGTGTTCGTGCCTTAGAGAAGAAATAAAGTTCGGTGAAGCAGTTTCCTACGCCTCCTTCGATCTTTTTGCTAGCGGAGTTGACCTGTATAGTAAGCTGTTGCCGGCTACGAGTCAGTTACGGAACCTTCAAGTAACTGCCAGAGGTTTCCTTACTACGGTTCGGGGCCGCGGATCTGGCGCGGTAACACCTGTATCTGATTGAGGAGTCACTCATCTTTGGAAAAGAGAGTTTATTACAGAGAAATGGCTCTTTCCAAAATAAAAGCTATACTATACGCTTCTTCTGGGCTATATTCTCAGCAGCATATTGTAGCGGGTCAGGGCTGTTCAGGGTTCTGTTTGTACAGTTATGTTTTGTTTATGTTGCCATAGTGACGGGTGACGCCCTCTCGCTGCGACGGTGTGTCCTTCCGGGGTCAGAGGGCGCCCTGTGTGTTGTTGTTGTGGCTGTGCGGTTGCCGCGCTGAGCAGTTAGCTAGCGGCAGTGTTCTTCTGCAGATGTCAATAAAGGGCTGTGCTCCCTGGCTAGCTCACGGGAAGCAAGACCAAACGACACCTCTGTCTCCTCGTTGTCTGAGCTCGCCACATTAGTGTCAGAAGTGGGATGATGGTGGCACCCCATGTTCTGACCCGAGTGACTTTTCCCCCGCCGGTGGTGACCGGCCGGTGCGCCAAAAGAAGGCATCTGGACATTTGCAGGACTTTGTGTGGGGCAATGGGGTCGTCGGGGACGACTGACCCCTTAGGCGGGGGCTATGTAGCGGGTCAGGGCTGTTCAGGGTTCTGTTTGTACAGTTATGTTTTGTTTATGTTGCCATAGTGACGGGTGACGCCTTCTCGCTGCGACGGTGTGTCCTTCCGGGGTCAGAGGGCGCTCTGTGTGTTGTTGTTGCTGTGCGGTTGCCGCGCTGAGGAGTTAGCTAGCGGCAGTGTTCTTCTGCAGATGTCAATAAACGGCTGTGCTCCCTGGCTAGCTCACGGTAAGCAAGACCAAACGACACCTCCCTCTCCTCCTTGTCTGAGCTCGCCACAATATTAAACATATCAGGTCCCCATAAGGAGAATCATGTGCTAACGGCTGTCTAAATGACTCGGGTAAAGTTTATAACATGCATGCTTGTTGTTTTTGTCTGCTTCCACTTGTCTTTGCACTAGGATGATGTCGGCGTAAATGTGCAGTCATATTCCTTGTGTTCCCACTAGTGCTCCGTTATCGAGCTACCCCTGCGTGGGGCTAGACGGCTAACACGTTAACGAGCTAACTGCTCGCTAACACACTAGTTCCCACCCATGTAATTGAGCATTGCGTGGCACATCCAACATACTGTTTTACTTTAGTCCATGACGCGCTTACCTTCAGGGTCATACGTCACATGAAAACCAAAATAATTCCAAACGCCACATCTGAATGAGGGTGGGGAAGGTTCAATTTGCCATGTTGCAAGGAGAGCTTAACTTCTGTCTCGCTAGCTTGCCCTGCGCTCGTCCTTCTGATGATGCTGTCTGTGTTGAGCGCTCAGTGGATCTGCGCTCGACAGTGCAGCCTAGGCTGAGTAGTCGAACGCAGATTTACTGAGCGCTCAACACAGACAGCATCGTCAGAAGGAAAGTTGATAAAATAAATTACAAATTTTGTATTGTTCGATACATATGCGTACCGAACCGAAAGCACTGTATCGAACGGTTCAATATCGATACGAGTATCGTTGCACCCCTAATATATACATACATATAGTATATACACTGGGTGAATGTGCAGTAGTAGCAGCAAGCAGGTGAATTCTGTACATTAATATGAATAGACATCTGACTATTTTACAGGATAGACAATATAAACATATTTAAAGTTAAAGGAATTGAAATGTACATTGTGCCTTGGTTTAGAGTGTCTGGAAGAGAGTCCTGTCTCAGTCAATTATAGATGATGTGAGCGGGCGGGTGTGTGTGTTTAGGGCACGGATGGCTTGGGGATAGAAGCTCCTCTTGAGTCTCTCTGTCCTTGCCCGGAAGATGCGGAACCTTGTAGCGTTTTGAGTGACGAGAAACTTCTCATCACTCATCCAAGTGACTTCTTCAGTCTCAGCTGACTGCAGGTTTCCAACCCTATAAACAGTACATTTACACAGTGACTGAAACCAGCACCACTGAATGAACCTTCAAGGATCTGGTGAGTAACGTAGTGTACGCTGTTAAGTGCCAGGAGGATTGCCAGGATTTATACATCTGGGAAACCAAACAACCTCTGGTGAAGCGGTTGGCACAACACAGAAGAGCTACCTCGTCAGGCCAGGACTCTGCAGCCTATTTACACCTACGCCAGTGGACACTCTTTCAATAATGAGGATGTGCACATCCTGGACAGGGAGGAACGCTGGTTTGAGCGCAGAGTCAAGGAGGCCAGTTACGTGAAAAGGGAAAGACGATCTCTGAATCGAGGAGGGGGCCTAAGGGTACATCTGTCACCATCTTACAATGCTGTGACTGCAGCCATTCCCCAACTCTCTGTGAATGGGACTCATGGCCATGGATCAATGATCTTTGATCAGTAGTTGCTGATCAATGGTCATGACAATTTGCATACTAATGATCATAAAACTAGCTTCACAGCCCATTGTTCATTCAGTGGTGCTGGTTTCAGTTATTGTACAAATGTACTGTTTATAATGTTGGAAAGTTGCAGTCAGCTGAGACTGAAGAAGTCACCTGGGCGAGTGACGTTTCTCCCGCTGAAAACGCTACGTCCAGATATACAGAATCAACGTTTTAGGCCATCGATCTTTGGTAAAGCCAAATAGTAGATGTGTACACGGCAAAAAATATACTGGCTATATTCTTGTTTCTTGTTGTTAAATTGGCATAACTAACATTTGCAGTAAATACACACACATTTGGCAGTTTTCGATGATTTTAAATTGGCCCTCAGCATGAATGTGAGCATGTCTCTCTTTGTTAGTCCTGATACAGACTGTCAGGGTACCCTGTCTTTTGCCCTGAGACAGCACCCCTTTAACCTTGAATTGGACAATGGATGGATGGATAATTATGATTAAAAAATGTTACATGAACACAGCATAAACACATCAGTGCTGCTGTTTCTCTTGCAGCCCAGTCATTGCATTAAAATGTTGATATTGTTCATTTCTACAAACCATAAGTATAATCTCAAGTTTATCACAACTCTTTTCATATTTTTTAGCGTCTCAAGATTATGAAGCCCCTCTCTGTGCGTGAGGTTGAAGGGATTTATTTGCCTTTGATTTTGGTAGCTAAGAAGCATATTGTCGTCAAAGCATGAACTAAGATATGAACAGATGCAAAACTTTTCACACTGCTGAAACCACTGGAGCGTACATGTGTGTGCGTGTGACAGTGTGTGCTAGCAGCAGCTAATCATATTCTTCTGTGATTCCCAGCTCGTTGCCACGGCCGACAGGTCTGCCAGATTGCTGAAGTTGCGAACTCCTTTGCTGACCCTTGTCCTCAGCTGAAGAGCTACCTGTCTGTGGACTATCACTGCAAAGACGGTAGGTCACGGTTCTGTGCTCAGGTTAATTTCATTTTTTTTCCCTCTAAAGTGGAATCACACTTCCTAAATCCATGAAGGGCAGCGTGTGTCTGTTCTTTTCTATCCCATCTGTTTAATTTTCCCACTTAGAGTACTAAATAGAGTCGTTAGGAGCCAGTAAAGTGTTAGAATAAGATTAACTATGGCTGATGATGCTTGATGCAGGCGTTAGAACCCCAATTAAAAAATGCTGCCAATCTAGCTCTCAAAACATTGCCAATAAATTTCTCTCACACTCTGTGGCTTATTTCATTTCTGGTGAGTGTGAAGATAAAAATATGGCTTACAAAGATTTGAAGTTCTCCCACTTGTTTAACCACGGAGAATTATTAAAACAGCGTTATTTACCTCAAATAGCACAAAGACAGTTGTAAAAATGTTTCAGAAATAAAACACTTTACTTCATAGTAGGAAGATTAACATAACTTTATCATTTCATGGAGGTCTGAGTTTGTCTCCATCGGTAGCGACGTCTCGCCTGGCAGATCCCGATGTACTAATGACAACTGAAGAAGTGAAAGAAAAAAAGGGGGGCGGGTGGGGCACGAAAATGAGAATGAACATCTTGTAGAACTGGGGGGTCATATATAGATAAGACCCAGAAGGGGTGTGTTTGGAGCCTTGGTCCCGCTCCTGAAATTCAGATAAATTATCTCCAATTGTTTCCAAATTTTTGATGAGCAATTTAAAGTTTTACTCAGAAACAGGAGCACAATCTCTTCTCATCACTCTCATACTTTACTGGAGTTCTTGGACAGAACAGATGGATTGTTAATGTTAATAGCAACGTAAAAAGGAAAAGGACTAGCTGTACTGAGGGTTTTTTTTATTTATTTGGCAGCAGCAGCTGTTCAGGTAAATGTCAAACAAACAATCCAAGCTTCACACTGAAATTCATTTTATATGTTTCACTGACAAGTTATATTATAGGTCAAACTATCAGACACGGTCTGCTTCTACAGTGACCCTTATCTCAACATCGGTAGATTCAAAACGGAAAGATTCCTCAGAGACGTCGGGCCATCTTGACATGATAGCATCACGCAGCTGCTGCAGCTGCACATCTGTGATGTGAACATGTTGTTCACCACATCTAAAAGGTGCTCCAGTGGATTGAGATCTGGTGACTGTGGAGGTCCTGGGAGTGCAGTGAACTCGTTGTCATCCTCAGGACACAAGCTTGAGCTGATCTGACCTTTGTGGCATAGTGTGTTAACCTGCTGGAAGCCACCAGCAGTAGATGATACACTGTGGTTACAACAGGATGGTCACCAGTGATTCTCCGGTAGGCCTTGGCATTTAAAGGATGCTCAGCTGGTACCAAGGGGCCCAAAGTATGATAAGAAAATATCCCCCACAGCATTACCTGAACTGCTGACTCCATCATTTCAGGTTGTTTGCACCAAATTCTGATCCTAACATCTGAATGTCACAGCAGAAATTGAGACCTATCAGACCAGACAGTGTTTTTCCAACGATGAGCCTGTGCAAACTCTAGGCTCAGTCACGTTACCTGTACCTGACAGGAATGGCTTATACCAGGGGTGTCACAGATAAGGCTGGAGGGCCAGAATTGGCCAGGCAAAGATGACAATCTGTCCTGCTGGAAGGCTTTAGGAAATGTGACAGAGTACATAGATTTTGAACTCTTGGCTGTGTTGTCATAACGTTTCCTACTGATAAAGATGCAACTCCCATTGGCAAATACAACACCGAAGTGTTTAAGCAATAGAGAAACGATTAAATGACAAAAAGGTTCCAGTTTTCCCACTATCTACTTTAGAAAGTTGAAACTAAACCAGCCTACTGGCATCTTTGAAATAAAGTCAAACTGGGAGATTTGTGCCCCAGCAAGATCTGGAGAAGCTCACTCAGGTCTTTAATTCGTGTAGAGTTTAGTACTGGAGTGCTGTTTTTGGAAACACTACAGTTAGCTCAAAATGCGACTGAACTCCAATTCTCAGCTCCCTGCATTTTTAATTTAAAGTAATTTCGGTTGTTTATACATCATTAAATGGCATGGACCCCAGAAATATATATATGATCAGTCCCAACAAAAAAAAGTACAAACGAATCTATAGTTGACAACAAAGGCTGCATTTCCAGTTTATTTCTTTGGGCTGTCTTCTTATTTTTTTGCTCAGATCACATTAAAATCAGATCATGCTCCTGCATTAAATAACCTCTATGGTATCTGTGCTTCTATCTGTTGAGATCTTGTGCTTGTCTATTTTTTGCTTGCTGGGCTACAAGCGCTTTGTAACATTTCTGGTCATCCTCCCACACCACAGGGCTCGCACTGTCAGTTACTCCCACCGCTGTGGTTCTTGGTGACGTCAGAATCCACGTGAAGTGGCTTCTACATTCACCCCTGACAAACTTTAGCTGCAGAGTGAACACAGGAGATGGCCATGTAATTAATTTGAACAATCCAAAAGGGTGAGTATCAACATTAATAATCTTTAGGTTTTTTCAGCCATGAGTTTAAAGAACATTTTCTGCATTATTTTCCACATGAGGTTAGTTATTTTTGTGTAGGTGTCAAAGTTTTGTTTTTGCCTTCTATCCTGCTTTCTTGTTACTAAGTTTTGCACATCCTTGATTCCTTTCCTTGGCATCCTCTCAGTGCACTTAGTCCATCGTACCTGAGACACGAGCAGAGGAGATGAGGATGAAAAAGGAGGAGCAAGGAGTCAGTGCAACTGGCACTTAACATACTGAGACAGTTGCTCCAGGCTGCTATTTAAAAGCAATGGCAATACATTTATGCGGCACAGCTGCTTCCTCTGCAAAGCAGTTATTTCTTCTTCGATATGGAAAAAAACCCCTCATTTTTTGTGTAGACTCCCAGTTTGAGGATAGTTTGTATGTTACAGAGGTGTAGCACTCCTCATTCACGCATCACGGCAGGAAAAAACAAGTTTTGCAATATACAACTGTAGCTCCTCGGACAAGCCTCCTCTTCTGCTCAACAATGTGAGAGAGCCTTCAATAAAATAATCAGACTGATTTCCAAGTCACAGGCGGAAGGATAGGCTGAAATAGGCTCCACCCTGATTTGGACAAAAGGAGGAAAATGAATGGAGGGATGACAGATGAGACAAAGATGCACAAAGTAGAGAAATTAAAAATTTCCCCATCATTCCTAACACTGTGTCAAAATCACCTGCCAATTGTCTTCAGTCCATCTGGCAGGGGAATTCACCAGATGGACTGATTAATCCAATCAATCTACTCTGTTTCCAGTTTCCAGCTCACCAACACCCAGCTCACCTCCTGTGATTCCCAAATGCATCCCATTGGCTTTTTGTGCTTTTAGATACTACATTTGTGTGGGTGGGTGTGTGGGGCTGTCATATAGAAATGAACATCTGTTAGATTCAAGCTCATTCGTAATCAGTTAATCAGTGGTGATTAAATCTGTATTTCCTGTTTTTGGAGGGCACAGTTTCAGTTTTGAATCCTGGTGTCTGTGGCGACAGTCACTGCTGTACTGGTAGTAATGCCTTTTACGTCAGCCGGCAGTAATTTGTTTACCAGAGCTGACAAGGCGCACAGCAACAGAAACATGCCAGAGAAGGTTTTGACGCTTCAGCTATAAAAGGCTCAGCACTTAGAAGAAGCAATGCAGTCTACAAAATAAATAAAAAATCAGTCAACAGTTGAGCGTGTCGTGAGCCTGCGTCAGCATTGTTTGTGTAATCGGTCTCACTGCTCTGACATGTGACAACATGAGCTTGGTGAAAGTTTAACAAAGTTCACTATGAAAGTGTGAACCACAACAATCCATTATATCTTTAGCTGGATCTGCTACATCTGTTCACCACACAATCATCACCTGTATCATAGTGAATGTGCAACTTATTTCATCCTTATGTTGAATTTAACCATGAAATGTAATGATACAAACAGGCACACCGCACTTCAGTTGGACCATGCTGCTATCAAAGTCATTTGTACAAAAGCTGGAGGAAAGTTGTGTAGGCCTACCATCTCCATCAGCGTTATAAGTTACCTGAATCTGTAAACCTTAAGAACAGGTCACATATTGATAATCTGCAAGATGTCTTATTTTGCAAGGAAAGGGATGTTTTAAAAATGTAATGTTTTTATTTATAAATGTTTTTTGAATGCCTAATGGAAATTAATAAGCGAGCCACTAGATTGCATACCTGTTTTTAACTGCAGCCACTTTCAGTAAAGGTACTGGGAATAAATGCAGGAATGATCAGCAGATGTAAGTTCAGTTATTTTTGAAGAACTGCATTATTCACCCAATTTCTCCCATTTAAATCGCCAAAAAAACCCCTAAAAATTTTATTAGACGTTCTGTGTGTAATGTCCAGAAAACCATTATGATATACTCACAGGCATTAGGTGAACTTTAATTTAATTTATTTAGGACAGTGCATGTTAATGAACATAAATGTAAAATAAATTACATGAATGTAAACATGCCAGATTATAGCCAAGGGCTAATTTCCATCTGTTGTCCATAAAACATTAAAAGTACTCACACATACACACCGTTCTATTCCCAAATAAAACATTAAAACTATACAACTTATACATGATCACACACTTGATTTGTCCATAACCAGTTTTTAACCTGTGCCTTAAACAAGTTGAATGTCGAGCATTCTCTAAAGGATTGAGGACTTCTATGTTATATCCTTGCGCTTCTTTGCAGGAAAGCACTTGATTAACGATCACAAGATTGAACGTCTCTGTCAATTTACCCCAAGGAAACTGCGCAAAAATAATAAAAACATTCTACTGTAAGACTCCACAGGTCTCAGGCCACATGCTAACGTTCATAACATTAAAATTCATGACAGAATAATTCGAAGAAGCATGGCTGGCTTTGAAGGGTTGCCAGGAGAAATCATCTTCTCTCTAAAAGAACATGGCAGCACGGAGTATGTTTGTACAAACTGCAAAATTTCAGAAACAATGTTCTTTGACCAGATGAGACCAAATTGGAGATGTTTGGCTACAATGCACAGCCACCCATTTGGTAGAGCCCAAACATATATCAGCATATCAGGACCTCACACCTCCTACCAGCTGTCAAGCAAAGTGTTGGAAGGCTGATGATTTGGGCTTGTTTTGCACCCATGGGATCTGGGCACTTTGTACTCAGCGAGTAGCTGGTGAGTCGCTCCAGTCTGCAGGTAACTGTGGCGATCTGCAAGCAATCCATGGCAACCTCGAGAAGATTTTTAGTGCATCACCCTTTTTCTGACAGATTTTGACTACCAGCAAACTCACCCTGGAGTCAGGAATAGAGATCTTCCTGGAGTGACCCCTGGTTCAGTGTTGTTGTTCAGTTGTGAACAAGCACATGCAACATCTTTTGAATTTGCACTTACAACTAAAGTACCAAAGTCTTTCAGTGATATCAGACAACATTTTGTTAAAGACTTAAGAGTCAGGGAAGATTTCATTTTTCAAAATCAAATCAAATCAAATCACGTTTATTGTCACATCACATGTGCAGGCACACTGGCACAGCACATGCGAGTGAAATTCTTGTGTGCGAGCCCCACAAGCAACAGAGATGTGCAAACACAACAACACAAACGAGCAAAATACAAGAATGGCCAACCTGAAACTAATAAATATATGTACAATATATAATAGTGTATGCATTTCTGGATGTGCATACTAAATATTTTCCTACGTGTGTGTGTGTGTGTGTGTGTGTGTGTGTGTGTGTGTGTGTGTGTGTGTGTGTGTATACACATTTTTACAAATTAAATAGTAAAAAAAAAAAAATAATAAAAATAATAATAATAATTTTTATGACACATTACACCATTACACTGGGATTAAAAACCATTTGATGCTAATGGCTGTTTGTTTAATTTGATTTTGATGCACTTAATGGTTGTGTGGCATATCTGAAATAGTGTTACTCAAACGAACACGCTGATTCCTGTTTTTGAATTTGCTCAGGTTGGAGAGCAGTGTGGTGCACAAATACACTCATCCAAGTACCTTTATTGTGGCAGCTGAATGCACTTGCAGTGAAATGCACATTACTGCTCAGAAAATAATTACGATTCAAGAGCCTGTTGCAGAGATCGGTGTTATCAAGTGCTATGCTGGAAACCTGTCTTTTTATGAAACCAACTGCAAAGCCCTGTGTGGAGAAGCCTTTCATATTCAAATGGAAGTAAAAGCAGGTAGGTACCAAAGTGAACCTAATATCAAATAATTAAGTTGAAATTTTGATATCTCTACATAACAGCATCGGCTTTAGTTTGAGCATATATTTGTTTTTTTCCCGAAATCATGTTTGACTTTTACTGTCACTTAAGTTTTATTTGTTTTCTATTCTTTAGGTACGAATGTGACCTACAGAATCAAAGCTGATGAAAAGCCGTTGTCCGGTTTATCTGTGGTCAGAGGAACTGAACCCCAGAACGTCACAGTAACATCAGAAATAGTGACGCAGCTCGGGTCTGGCTGCCACCATCTGACACTTTATGCGTCTAACACGGTCACATTCCTTGAAGTGTCCAAAGACCTGCAGGTACAGTAAATCAAACTAATAGTCTTCTTTTAGTACAACAGTAACAAAAATAATGATGTATCATCCCCAGGTTTCTGTTGAGCATGGTGTTCATATGAATAAAGAATTTGAGTACTGATTGAAAAATTAGACTGTTTAAAATTCTTAATTAAATTTAACCTTTAATTATAAAACTTCTTTAAGATAATTAGGGAAATATAACTGGGAAGACGAGAACATCTCTCTCAATTTAATTCACAATTATTTCTTTTTTTTTTTTTCATACCAACTATGAATTTAAAAGTCTGCACTTTCATCCTGCTGTCCCCATTAAGGTAATCAGTCATTTTAAGTCAAGGAACATAGTGTGAAAATGTGCCTTTGATCTAAGTTTAATCAAAATTAAACCACAAGGTCTGATGTCACTCAGCTGCCAGCTAACCTCCGTAAACAGGAAGCTCAGCTCACCTGCTCTTCTTTGCATGGCACAAAAACTCTGGAAATATATTGGAAGTTTTTGTTACGGCCGAGAGGGCCAGGCGGTGAGTGTGGACTGAAATGCAGACACAGAGGGAGGCAAAACTGGAGTGAATACAGTGCTTTATTTACAGTGCGTAGTTTAATTACAGAGCAGGAAATAATGTAGGCTATGGACTGTGAAGGCTAAGAGGCCAGACTATGGAACATGGAGCTCAGACTGTGCGCTATGACTAAATGGTAAATGGCCTGTATTTGTACAGCGCTTTACTAGTCCCTAAGGACCCCAAAGCGCTTTACACGTCCAGTCATCCACCCATTCACACCCTAGACTAGATGCTAGATTTTGTGACCAGATCCTGGGGAGGGAAAAGGGGCAGCGGCCTGGGTGGAGGTACACAGAGTCACTATAACGAGAAGAGACAGGCAGTCAGTGGCAGTCTAGTGAATGTCAGTCGGTGGATTCAACTATGATGGTTATGGCTTACACATAGCAGGTGAAAGTGGCATGCTAGAGGTCCAAGGAGGGTCTGGAATACACTTGTAGCAACAGGCCTGGCAGGGAGGTGGGCGGGCGAAGTGCCACGATTGAGGGGGTTACAACCAGATATCAGGAAACCAGCATCCAGACAGAGATAGGTGCAGTTCAGTTTGAGAAGCGTAACGCCCAGGCAGGTAGTGCGTTAGCTGTAGATCTGGCAGAGGTCTGTTGTGAGCGCTGGTCTTATATGCTGGTGACTTGATTGGAATCAGGTGTGAAGGCTGATTGGAGTCTCCGCCTGAACGTGGAGCCCAGCAGAGTGGAAAAACCCCGCACTCACCCAGACCATGACAGTTTTATTCTTCTCATAGACAGTCACAATTTAATATGTCAAGATTTTTCTTTATCAGACAATTTCTTACTGAATTAAAATGCTTTGTAGAGTATTTTTAATGTATCTTTAATGTATTTTCATAGTAAACACTAATTGCCAGATTAATGTGTTATCAGATTAACGTGTTATCTGCTTCTGTTATCTGATTAATGTGTTCCTCTGCTTTGTAATTCTGCTTATCCCACAGGTGTGTGTTCTGGAGAAAATAGTTGGACTTCAGGCCTCTGTGTTGACAGCGGGCGATGAATGTTTAGATTCCCCATTTATTATTTTTGATGTTTCCCTTGTACGAGGAGAGCCTGTGATGCTCTTGTTTTCTCTTTCTGGAAACAATGGCTTGTTCACTGAAACCAGACAAATGAATACCAGAAAGGAAATGTTTGAAACTGAAAACCCAATTCAAGGTGAGCTTTAAAATGTAAATGGTAAATGGACTGCTTCTTATGTAGTGCATTTTACCCCTCAGCCATAAAAGGCTAATTGAAGGTATTGTTGTCGTTCTGCCAGGTGGGCGGGCATCATGAATACCAAAGATTGTGAATGTGATAACTCAAGAAAATAGCAACATAGGATGTTCAAATTAGTGTATCTATTAAAAGTCTCAGACAAGTTTAAATCTTGGTGACCTCAACCTCAAGGTCAAAGATCAAGTTCTCCAAAAATCTTGTGAATGATAATCTAAGAATAAGGCGATATAGTATTTTGAAATTGATAACACAGGTATTCCATAGTGTTAATGCATCTCATTTTCTACTCTGCCTAGGCACTCTAAGTGCTTTACACAACTTACTTACAACTTACAACTTATGTTCATACACATTCACTCACATTGATGGATGCATTGGGTTGGTATCATGCAGACCGGAGCTGCCAGGGATCAAACCACCAACCTAATTAGGACTGTAGATGACCTGCTCTACCTCCTGAGCTACAGCCACCCGAATTTGATGTCAGTCAAAATGTCTGAAACATGAATATTTACAGATTCTACTGCTGATTCATTGATTTTTTCCGTGTGTTTTTCTACAGGTTCTATAGAAGCAAAACTCAGAGTTTGGAACATCTTCTCCTCTCTTGAAGTGGTGCTGAATATATCTGCTTCTTGTGATAAAGATTTAGGCTTTAAACCCAGCGATCAAAATAACATTTTGTTTGGAATGAACAACAGACGGGTAATTACAGAAGTCCATCCAATTTATAGTTGTGTAGTTGTACTTCTAATGTAACTGTACAAAATAATATTTTAAGTAAATATTAACCCTCATCCTCACCTTTGTTCTACCTTACCTGACATTTATAAATGCTTGTGTTTTCAGAGAAAGAAGCATGTTAGAGTTGGCAGAGCTCTACTCACAGCTAACCGTTCAGCTACAATAACTCAAAGAGATGGAGGGGAAGGAGACTGCGGAAACGACGACTGTGGAAAAGGCAACTGCAAAAAAGAGGGAGGAGACTGTGGCAAATGCGACTGTGGAAAAGGCGACTGCAAAAAAGAGGGAGGAGACTGTGGCAAATGCGACTGTGGAAAAGGCAACTGCAAAAAAGAGGGAGGAGACTGTGGCAAATGCGACTGTGGAAAAGGCAACTGCAAAAAAGAGGGAGGAGACTGTGGCAAATGCGACTGTGGAAAAGGCAACTGCAAAAAAGAGGGAGGAGACTGTGGCAAATGCGACTGTGGAAAAGGCGACTGCAAAAAAGGGGGAGGAGACTGTTGCAAAGGCGACTGTGGAAAAGGCAACTGCAAAAAAGAGGGAGGAGACTGTGGCAAATGCGACTGTGGAAAAGGCGACTGCAAAAAAGGGGGAGGAGACTGTTGCAAAGGCGACTGTGGAAAAGGCAACTGCAAAAAAGAGGGAGGAGACTGTGGCAAATGCGACTGTGGAAAAGGCAACTGCAAAAAAGAGGGAGGAGACTGTGGCAAATGCGACTGTGGAAAAGGCAACTGCAAAAAAGAGGGAGGAGACTGTGGCAAATGCGACTGTGGAAAAGGCAACTGCAAAAAAGAGGGAGGAGACTGTGGCAAATGCGACTGTGGAAAAGGCGACTGCGAAAAAGGGGGAGGAGACTGTTGCAAATGCGACTGCGGAAAAGGCGACTGCGAAAAAGGGGGAGGAGACTGTTGCAAAGGCGACTGCGGAAAAGGCGACTGCGAAAAAGGGGGAGGAGACTGTTGCAAAGGCGACTGTGGAAAAGGCGACTGCGAAAAAGGGGGAGGAGACTGTTGCAAATGCGACTGCAGAAAAGGCGACTGCGAAAAAGGGGGAGGAGACTGTTGCAAAGGCGACTGTGGAAAAGGGGGAGAAGACTGTTGCAAAGGCGGCTGTGGAAAAGGCGACTGCGAAAAAGGGGGAGGAGACTGTTGCAAAGGCGACTGCGGAAAAGGCGACTGCGAAAAAGGGGGAGGAGACTGTTGCAAAGGCGACTGTGGAAAAGGGGGAGAAGACTGTTGCAAAGGTGACTGTGGAAAAGGGGGAGGAGACTGTTGCAAAGGCGACTGCGGAAAAGGCGACTGCAAAAAAGGGGGAGGAGACTGTTGCAAAGGCGACTGTGGAAAAGGGGGAGAAGACTGTTGCAAAGGCGACTGTGGAAAAGGCGACTGCGAAAAAGGGGGAGGAGACTGTTGCAAAGGCGACTGCGGAAAAGGCGACTGCGGAAAAGGGGGAGGGGGAGGACCTGATTGCGGAACGGATGGAGATGGCTCCAGTGGCTTGTCATGTAGCATATCTCCACAGAGTGGAACAATCCTTGATGCTTTTGATATAACTTGCAATACTGAAAATCCCTGCTCTAACTGTCAGTATTGTTTCAGCACTCAGAGTAAGTACTTCTGGATCAGCAAAATCTTTTAAGACACTGATGTAACTAAGTTTAACAGTGGCATTTATTTTCCACGTTGTTTTAACATGTGGGGCGATTTGTCCCAGCGGTAAGTTGTGTTTCTAAAGATCCATAGAAACACGGGGGTGGCACTGTAGAACAATCCAAAGTGACTGATCCCAGGGATGAGTTAGATCCTGAAATATATGTACATATTATAGAAAGAAGCATTCCTTTCAAGGCCTCACTGTAAAGTCACTCTAAGTAAAAACTGGCACAACTCACCCCACTTTCCGCTACTGATCAAACGGCGTTGCCCAATCTGCAAACGACGTGGCCAATAGGAGGCTTCTGCAGCTACAGCCTAAAAACACACGCATTTACTACCAAGTAAAACAATAAACATACGGCACAAAATAACATACCAGAAATCGATGGAAGGCTTCCGGAGAAATAATCCACAGGTGATCTCCACAAAAACACGAGTAGCACCACTCAACCAAAGTGTAGCCCATTCAGACTGAGGCAGTAGTGACATGACTCCTACCTGTAACAGCTAGGGAAGTCAGGTGACAGAGGGCTCAAATGCGTACAGCGACAGGTAAGCAAGTGAGGGATGCAGCTACTATTATCGTAGCACCATATAATGTGATTGGCTAGTAGTGTGATTAATAATCCAATACTGAAATATTCATAATATTCATTTAGCTACAAACACAATGGAGTATATTTCACTAGAAATCTAATAATGATAGAAACTCTCTTGTTTGAACCTTATCAGGTAAGACTCTGCGATGCAGTCAGAGCAATGAAGTAAAATTCATCTTCCTTCCTCTCGGAGACAGCAATTCTAACTACAAACTGAATATACTGGCAACTGCAACGGGTGAAGGCCAAACAGTACTCAGCACCACTATAACTGCACAGGTATGCCACAAATAGGATGCATGTACTGACGAGAAAAGATCCAGAGTACGGAAATGCTCTGATTTTGTAGTACTGTGATAAAATATTTTCTTCTCATCAGGTTATGGATTCAACTTTGAGCTTAAGCTCAATAGAGAACATCTTGGATCAGCTAAAGGCAGAAGGCCAGCTGTCACCAGAAGTCGCTGGACAACTCTTCAGTTCTGTGGCCAATGAACTTAACGACCAATCTGATCCTGCAGGACAAGCAGATAGGCAAAAGGTAGCAAATCTCATCCTGTTTAAGGATAGGACCAGTGAAGAGCCTTGTGCTGCCAGCAGGGCTAAGCAAGCTTTTAACTTTTAAGGCCTTTACACACCGGATGGGTTAAAATTTTTTCAGGCTCACGTATTGTTAATGCAGCTGTTAACATCAACCGTGTAATTTTGCAAAAAGAGTCTGGACAGCTCCACTGACATCCTAAAATATGTACAAAAACAGTCATAATGCAGTTATGAATCAAACCACCAAATTTTCTCTGTTGCTTCTTTGTTGTGAGATTTGGATGAACCCAGAATCTCCATTTCTTCCTTTTGTTGTTGTGTATTCAGATTGCAGTCAGTGTGTACAGGCCTTTAATAGGGCATGCTTTAGGAGCCGCCCAACAGTTGATTCATTCAAAGGAAGTTTCTGTGTGTAATTTTACATCTTTTTGACAGCTTCTCAAGAAAACACAAGTCTCATTTCCAAACTTAATCAGACAGGGTGGATGGAAAGGAAAAACCATCTCTGTGAATCAGGAAATGTTTGAATCTGAATGAACAACATTGTTACTGTAAAATTCTAATATGTCACTTTTTTATGCATTTATTTTGTTGGTGTCTGAAGCTTCGACAGAAGATGCTGGACATATTGATTGCTATAGTAAATGAAAATCTCAACAAAACTCTACAAGACGTTCAGGTGTTAGCCACAGCACTTGCTTCTCTCGTCAAGAAAGGGACTGAACTCAATACATCAGCACAGGTACTGTAGAGAAGTTCAAAAAAGGAGGAATCCATCAGTAAGGACTGTAGACATCTCTCTGCAATGCGTACCGATGTATTTTGCTTTCACTGTAGCTCCCTTCTTAATGGGAAGTAAATGTTTGGTGGACAGGGCTTTTTTAAAATTAAAGGTGGGACATGAGGACCACATTTTAAAGCTTTTGACAATTCAAAAATGTTAATATCTTCATAATTTCTCCCAAATACATGTCTGTGACTGTGAGTTAATTTCCACCTTCAGGAAAGGGCCGCATCATTGTTCGCAACCCTGAGTTCATTTCTCCTCCACATGGATCTAAACGCAACTGAAGTCTTTGCCACAGCCAACATTATTGTGGAGGGCATAAGCAGCATGCTCGACTATTGTCCCAGTGTGAGTCTTATGAGGCCGATACTGATTGTGTTTATTTCTCTGGGGAATCGTGGTAGCTTTTAATGTTAGATATGCAAATCAATATCACTTCCCAGCAATATCTGCTGTCTCTTCAAAAAAAACCTTTTTGTATTTAAAATCAGTTTTATTTCTTATTCTAAATGTTGTGTGTTGCAGAAAATCACCTCAGATGGCCTTCTTGTGGCCCTGTACAATATACAGAGTGCGATGTTGGTCTTTATGGAGCTCAATGAGGACTCAAGCATAATTCAGAAAACGCACGTTAAAGTATTTGTCAGAAGGTAAGTTTCACTTCGAATGCAAGACAAAGTTATCAAACAAAAATTAACCACATGTCCCAGAAATTTGAACTGGAAAAATCTCACTGATGCTGGTATGCTAAAAAGCTGAAGCCTACAGTCACCTGTCTACGGATGGGTGACAAAATAAAGGAAAACCTGCATAAACCACATGGAAAATTCAGCAAATACAGATGTTTCAAATTCAAATTTTATTTGTCACATACACAGTCATACACAGTACGATATGTAGTGAAATGCTTACACAACTGCTCGTGACCTAAAGGAAAATGAAAAAGCTATGAATAAGATAGGAAATAAATATAAAAATTAAAAAGAGCAAATTTAACTAGGAAGGAATAAAATAAAACAAAATAAAATATAAAAATTTAAGTTAAAAATGAAATAACTGTACAACACAAATTAGAATGAAGGGTAAATTTAACTGGGAAAGAATAAGATAAAATATATAAATTAAAGTTGAAAATAGAATAACTGTACAACAAAATACACAATACACAGTATAGAAATATATAAGAATGTATGAAGAAATATAAATATATATATACACAATAACAGCAGCTGTACAAGTATTAAATGGAAATGAAGAAATATAATGTCCATCTTGTACAATCCACATTTGTAAGTGCCACATTCACATTTTCCATTTCCATTTTCCATAAAACAATGTTGTGTGGCACCTATGAAAGCGCTGAGGAGTGACTATGTCCTAAAAATATCCGTTTACTACAGTAAAGGCAGAATCTGTGACAATCCAGATTGAATCCAGTTTTGTTTTTACAGTGGCTTATTATACTGACAACATTATATAGTAAAAGGATCTCTTACTGAGCCTCTTTGAAGTGACAGTGGTTCACATTTATGTCCCCTCCAGTTGTTAACATAACTACCATAACGTGGTTACAAGTAGCCAAGTCGCAATGAAAACACATTTTACTTTGTATATTAATAGTTTATTGATTCCAGAGCTGTTAAACTTGCAAACTAATATTTAAGAGAAGCACATGTTTAATGTGGATCTCCTGATCTTTTCTTACAGAGTTTTACCAGCAGTCTTGTACACAGGCTCCGTAAATATTACCAACTGTACCTGCATCACATTTTCTCTCCCACAACTACCCACTACCATACTTCCTTCAGACAAACCAGTGGATGTGCGAGTACGTCAATACCCATGTGCCTATGAGTGTTTGTGCTGTGGATATGTACATGTGTGTAAATCAATTTTGCTCAATCATCCTAACGTCTAATGTCTGACCTGATCTTTGAATTACACTTTCAGATGCTGAACTTAGATGTAAACCCATTTTGTTGGAAGGTGGGATGGGACATCAGCAGATTCATAGGTTATTTATCCCTCACAACAAAAGAAGGGTCTGTTATCCCTGTGGAAAACTTAAGTAAGGATATTCAGGTCAGTGTAGCAACATTACAGCATCCACACTTACTGTTTTCAATCTCCTTTTGAGAGGACTTGTTTCTGGGGACTTTTGAGAAATGCATATTAAGAATAGTTTTGTGACAGAAGTGAAGATGGTGAATCTGTTGGCCAGAATTCCTATCAATGGCTAAAACACTGGCTAAAAAAGAATCACAATAAGGTCATGGAGTGGCCTAACCAATCTCCAGAATTTGATAATCTAGGGAGAGAGCTGAAACTGTGAGTCACCAAGAAGAAGCCAAGAAACCTGGAGAGTTTAGAGAGTTTCTGTAAAGGGGACTGGGCTATAATCCCTCCCTAGATGTGAGAGAAGGTGGTGACCACCTACAAGAAACATTTTACTGCTTTCAATTTCTCCACCAAGTGCTAAGTCATATTTTACTTGAGGATTAAATACTTATGCAAATACTTTCACTCAATGACAAAAAAAATTATATAATAGAAAAGGGCCTGATGTAATTCTGGGGAGGGATTACTACTTTTAAATAGTAGTACAATTAATAGTAGTAGTAGTACTAATTAATATGTTACTTGCATGTAACTATTTTACAAGTTTAAAATATGTTAAAGTGGCTACATTTTGAAACAGTGGATAACTGCTTTCTAACATCTGACTTCAGATCATGTTTCCACGGTTTGCTGGAGAACAAGTGAACACCACTATTCTGGACTTGGGGAACTTCAGCACAACGGTTATTGATATTCCTTCAGCGAACTCTACCCTGGTTCTAAAGGTTCAGTGACTTGTTCTTTTATGTCGACTCCTGAAATTAGAAGAAGCAAACATGCTTAGTGGACAGTTATATTATGGTTACATTACATACAGAGGCTACATTCTGTTCAGCGTGACTTTTGCTTGTGACCATGCTAACATTGCTAACTGTTAGCAGAAAGTGTAGCTACAAGACAAGGCTAAAGAAAATTTTTACATGGCAGTTTTGCATTAAAAGATCAGCTATTGCAGGTCATCTCCTGGAGACCACGAATATATGTACCAGTTTCTGACACATTTCATCACCTACATCAGAAGAATCTTTATTTGATGTAAATTAATGTCATAGTGATTAACCGCTGACAGATTGTCATGTCAAATATGTAGAGCCACGCTGTTACCCTCCCTAAAACTTCATATCTTTGCTACACTGTAGCACTATGATGACTGCAGCCAATCATAGTTTTACTAATTATATTCTTTATTCTTTCATGAAGGAAACTCATGATTTTATTTTAGATTGCGCATTCATAAGATTTTGTCTTGCATGTCCAACCTTTTAAAGATGATGCCTTCAAAGGTTCCTTTACCCTTCAAAGTCCTCCTTGGTTATAATGACTACCCTACTGAGACAAATTATGTAGCGGCAACAGAGATGCCTCAGCAGGGAGCCACACAAGGTAAGAAATGCCTTTGCTTAATTGTGGTGACAAGATTTTTTCCACTTCTAATGTGACTGAAGTGAGATTTGACTGTGTCTCATGTGCCTGCACAGAGGAGAAATACACATGGCTCCTGCACCCTGAGGATTTAAAGGGCAACACTGGAGTGCATTATCTTGTTGTGAGACCCATAGTGGGCCCAGGTATAAAATCTATAAATGCCAGTTTATCAATTACGCCCATCACAACCTCATGTCAATTTTGGAATAAATCACTACTGGACTGGAGCAAATCTGGATGCAGAGTAAGTGCAACATTTCAATCTGCTACACGTACAGTGAGGCGTTGCTTAAACAATAATGGAAATATAAGCTGTTGTCTTTCAAGGTTGGTGCCAATACCACGCATTTAGAAACCCAGTGCCTCTGCAACCACCTCACCTTCTTTGGGAACTCCTTCTTTGTCACTCCCAACCTTGTCGACCCGTCACGCACTGCTGAGCTATTTGCAACCTTTGCCGATAATCCTGTGGTTGTGTGCTTCGTCGCGGCACTCTTTTTGGCATATCTCTTGGTCCTCATGTGGGCAAGACGAAAAGATATTCAAGACACAGTCAAGGTATTGCATCTCTCGTGGACTGAAGAACAGATTAAAAATAACAAAAGGCTTGTCTGTTTCCTAGGAATATCATATATCTTAAAAAAAACACAACAACAACTTATATGTTAGTTGTTCTGAGGTGTTTTCTGTGGAAACAGTTGTGTTTTAGGCTCCAGGGGACGCTTGATGTTGTGAAAACCTGGAGGTGTATGAGTTAGAGAATAAAGAAAATAGCTAGAAAGACTTTGTAGCTCACTTCTCATCTGTTTGATCCTTGAAGCTTAAGGTCATTTCAGCCACTTCTAAAATACACACTTGTATCTCTCTGCATCTTCTATATTCTTACATGAACTCTCTCTCTGGATAGATAGATAGTTTCTAGATAGATAGTTGAACGCTAATATGTGAACAGCTTTTCTGTTTGGGAATAGCGTCTCCATCTCATGTCCATATAATATTTTTGCTTGTTGGCTGAATAACAGGTAAAGGTGACAGAGCTGGAGGACAATGATCCAATGGATGAGTATCGCTACCTGTTGAGTGTCTGCACCGGGCATCGTATAGGAGCCTCCACTTCCTCTCAGGTACATGTGTTCAGTGAAAGTCACACTTATCACAAAGTTACTTTAGACTTGTGGAAACATCATGAGATGCACGTTCTCTGTTTTCAGTCTGCTTATCAGCAGCTCATCTTTTTACAATTTCACCACCAGAGATGGGCAGTAGCGTTACTGTAATCCGATTACTTTTTTCAAGTAATGAGAAAAGTAAGGGATTACTATTGCCAAAAAAGCAATTAGATTACTGTTACTTCTCCCATAAGCACCCTGCGTTACTGCGTTACTAAACCGTGATTTTGTTTGTGAGCGTGTCTCACGACAAGGACGTACAAGCGTGCGACGTCCGTGGCAGCAACGTCCATGTGCAGATCAACAATGAATAATATGGAGTGCAGGAGAGAAGGTACGACCATGCGGCGTTTAAAGCTTGGAAGTACTGGCATTACTTTGAGTTTGATTCTGTAAGTGACAAAAACATTAGCGTTTGCTGTTCACTCTGCGTGGAAAAAAAAAACTTCTTTCTACAGCGAAAAATTAAACATTAAATCTGAGCAAGCACCGAGCACACCACCACGGGAATGTGAAATTCACAGAGAAATCCCCGGATCCTCCCACTGACATGACTGCTGAGGCACTGGGCAAACCTCCACCCGCCCCACTCCTGCTAAATAGATGAAAATAGATTTAAGAGCCACAGGACCCAGTGCCGCTGAGTCTTAGATTTTATTTGAAAGAGTGAGTGCAAACACAAAACATTATTTTATTTTATAAGCTGGAATATGCAGAAAATAGGTTTGAATGTTAAACACATTTCACAGAGAATATTCCATATAATTAAATTTTTGCTTGATGCTTAAAGTTAAAAGATTAAAACCAATAAAACACGTTTTAAAGAGAGACTTTTTCATTTGATTACATTTTACATAATGATGGATTATGCAGAAAAAGAACTGGGCTGAAAGGTCTTTCGCTTTATTATGTATTGAGGTTGTGTCTCATGTTTTTATAAACTAAGTAATAAAGTAACTAATTACTTTTGAAAACAAGTGATCAGTAAAGTAACAGGATTACATCTTGGAGAAGTAATCAGTAATTAGTAACTAATTAATATTTTCAAGTAACTTGATCAACACTGTTCACCACAAACAAGAACTTTTTCATCTGTGTTACCCAAACACACAATACGCCATTCAGCAACTCTTCATGTTTCGCTGGCAGTGAAACACCGTGAAGCACTCAATAACCAAAGACTTCTGGGGTTGCTCCATCAGCTCCATCTTAAGGGCGAGTTCTAAAATAGGCTTGTGAATACTCAGCTTTCGTTAGGTGGTGGGCTTCATACACCTGCTCTATCTGCCGACACATTAGGCCCCATAATATATGTGTTTTTTTAGCATGTTCTGCTAACACTAAGCTACAGGCAGATTTGCACTTGGGTTTCAGCACATGCTCTGTACTGATCACGTAGGCTGCTCATCTCATCACTCGTATTTTCTGTCTGTACTAACTTTTCAGTGATTTTTTTTTTCTTTCAGTAACTTTATGTGAAAAAGTACATTCTTTGTGTCTTTTCTTTTCTGTATTCCCAGACTGATGTATGCAATTACATATTAAAGAAAAGGCACATGCACATGCTTTAATATCTATCTCATCAGATAGAATAGAAGAAGAAGAAAGTTAACGAGAGTGGAGCTTAAACATGCATTTTTTAATGTCCAACCGGTGGCAACTCCTCTGGATGGAAAGTAAAGAAACTAATAAAACAGACTGAATAGAAGTATTTTGGTAAATTCTTACTTTTCTACTTGTTGCTAACATCTTACCAGTTTTGTAAATGATGGTAAAACATTGTGTGTCTTAACGTCGGGGATGTTTTTCTTGCTGTTAACACTGACCTACGAGCTTGTTAGCATGTTAGCATGTTACGAGCTCATGTTTAATGAAATTCTGTAACCTGTTTCCTAGCAAAATATAAATACATGCACAGCACTGTGTGTATCATATGCACTGCACACAGACTCTCACACTTACACACAGTGAAATCTTAATTGTTATTTTTACAGTGGTTATTCTAACTGTATGAAACAGACAAAAATTGATCAAGTCCGTATTTCTATTACTATTTGAAGTTTTCCCTAATATATTGCCAGAAACAGTTTAAACCAGTACTAAGGCGCTACCATTGCTCTCATATATGGAATCAGAATGGTATTGTTTTCAGTTTTATACTTTTCATGCACAAAATTGATTATTTTAGGTGACAGTTACTCTGCTGGGCACAGAAGGACACAGCGAGCCTCACCACTTGACAGATTCAAAGAAACGTGTGTTTGAAAGGGGAGCAGTGGACATGTTCCTGCTAACTACGCCCTTCTCCCTGGGAGACCTGCAGGGCATCAGACTATGGCACAACAATTCAGGAAGCCATTCTGCCTGGTAGGAAAAAAAGAAATGTCACAACCACACAAAAGAAAGGCATCTCGACAATTATGGTATTTTCTGAGTCATTAGAAACATACGGTTTGACCAAGAACACCACAATGATTGGACATTAAGGTGAATACAGTGAATCCGGTCCCAATTACACTGATCTTAAAGATAATTATTGTTGCTTTTTTAAGGAAAACATGGTCTTTAAATGCAATTCAGCTGTCATTTTAAGTAATATGTCTTCTACTGACTTTTGTGGGTGTCACGTGGAGCAAAGCAGAGGTCACATGATTGCATCTTGCATTTACATTGTTTGCCTTTTCTCAGGTATGTAGGCAATGTCATGGTGCAGGATTTACAGACAGAGGAGAAATGGCATTTTCTATGTAATTCCTGGCTGTCGGTAGACATTGATGACTGTTCCCTCGATAAAATATTTCCTGCTGCAACAGAGATGGATCTAAAAAGGTTCAGGTAAGCGCAAAGCCTGGTGGTACGTTTGGTAGCAGAATTACACGTACAAGCACTCTGTCTAGAGGCTGAACATGAAACTCAGATTGGGAGTACTGATCAAATGCAAATTCAATCGAATTCATGGTTTGGAGTTCCATTTGGATAATGTTATGTTTGCAGCAGGCAGGGTAAACTATCTTTTTTTTTTTTAATGAAATTCACTTTCACAAAGCAGCAGCCAGAATTTACTTTTCAACTCGTTGAAAAATCTACCAGTGCTTGTGGACTTTCACAAGGCTACCAGAAAGAAATTATTAGGCCCAGGTATGATTAAAATGCAAGGTGGAGGGAGAGTGGACACACTGGACAGAGGATGCTGAACTGCCAAGCAGGAGAAAAAGAAGAAAACAACAGAGAAGATTCATGGATGATGTGATAGAGGACATACAGTGGGTTGGTGTGACAGAAGAAGCTGGGGATAGGGTGAGATAGAGGCAGATGATCTACCATGGTGACTAAGGGAACCAGCTGAAAGAATAAAAAAATGTGACTACAGAACAATTTATTGTTTTATTTGAATTTAGCTGAATTTCCAAAGACGAAATGAAACCCAGTAAAAGCTGCCACTTTCTTCTCATCCCAGTTGAGTAGCTAAATATTTGGTTTAAGCGCTGATCTGGTGATTTAGTGGGGATTATTCGCTTTTCTTTAGGCTCTAAAACCTCCAAATGCTTCAGATCTACAATAGTGTTTTACAGGAATTAGAAAAAGATTAAAATGTGATGCTAATCCATCACTAATTAGCTGTTTATGAAGGTTTAAAACATTTGATTTTTACAATGTTGCTTTTATCTTTCAGTAATTTGTTCTTCACAAAGACAACAAAGGATTTCAATGACGGACACCTCTGGATTTCGGTGATCAGTCGACCACCGAGCAGCCACTTCACCTGTGTGCAGAGAGTGTCCTGCTGTTTTTCTCTGCTGCTCTGTACCATGTTAACCAGTATCATGTTTTATGGGATCCCAAAAGATCCCTCTGACCAAGTAATGGACCTAGGTACATCAAAAATGTATTGCCATTAAATTTACTTTTAAAAAAGTGTAAAAAAGTCCAAATCTAATTAATCTATTTCCCATTTGTATTTTCAGGAACTTTTGAGTTTACTTGGCAGCAGTTCATGATTGGAGTTCAGAGCTCCCTCATCATGTTTCCCGTCAATATCCTCATAGTCAGTATTTTCAGATTCACTCGTCCTCGGGAGTTTTCTTGTTGCCAGCGCAAAAAAAAGAAAAAGAACACACAAGATTCTTCTGCCACAACGGACAGGACTAACAGAGTGTCTTTAGATGTTATCATTAAGGTAGGTGTTTCCTGTTTTTGTGTTTCTGCATTTAATATTAAGGTGCTGCTAAACTGGCACCCAAGCCTTATGACAAACCTTTTTGTACGTGTTACAAATACTGATGGTTTTGTGGGTTTAGAAGAATTTCTCTAATGTGCATACACTTCATTTGGTATCAAAATTCGGTATTGAATGTGCTTCCCCTTAGGACATCACAAGAATTGCCCACTCGCTCTCTAAGACGATGAAAAGCAACGTCGCATGCAAGGAGATTAAGTTTGTACCTGGACAAGAAAATGATGTCAATGCTATACTTTCTGTGTTGAAAGACTTAATCACACAGAATAACACAGCTAGTGAAAATATCGAGACAGAAACACAGCCTCAGCTATCAGGTGAGTTCTCGTGTTAATAATTGATCATGATCAACTAAAAGTGCTGCAACACTGCCCCAAACCCCCATCTTATTTAAGTTTGCGCGACCTGCCCGTTAAGAACATATTCTTGGGTACTTCTATATCAGTTTCAACATTATACTGTTCAGAAAAACAAAACTAAAGTTGAAGCACGGACATCGTGACACACTGGAGGAGATCAAGTGGCCACTGAAGTGCAAGTAGCTTTCTAAAAACAAGAGCAAAGTTGCAGGGAGCCAAATCTGGCGCCTGCTGATGAATGATTGTGCTGCTGAGGCCAAAATCACCTGCCTCTTCAACTGTGGTGCGTGCCACTGAGTATCAGCACACACCACACTGAAGCGGTGTACAGCAAATCTTCTCGGTTTCATGGCTCTTTAGGATGTTACCTTAGAACACGCTGACTGTCTGAGCCTAGAAAATGAATTTATGGTGAATGCTGCATCTTCCTCGAGCGATGCTTTGCCATTGGGGTGAGGTCTACTGAGAAGTACTTTGGTTTGAAGCCGGGGTCAGTTGGACACAAATTTTTTACATGTTAACTCTGCACCACATACGAGTGCGTAGAATAGGATTCATGTCTTCGAGTGCCTCTGGATACAAACCAGAGGGGAGATCAGCTAACTCAACCTTTGGACTTTTCACAAGTGTAGTCAGACAACTTTATGATCACAGCTCTCGCATTAAGGGTCAAATTAGTACTTACATATCAGAAGGTCTCACAAACAGTTTGGTGTCAGTTCTTTTGCTTTTAAATAACATGCAAAGCAAATTTAAGTGGCGTGCTACAAATTTGATGGACGTTGTTTTTAATCAGCTGTTAATTCAAAGAGGCATAAAAGATGAAAATTTGCCTGAAAGGACGGACACTGCAGAGTTCTGAAATCATTCAGAAGATACTTGCTTATATGACAAAGTGGTTGTTTGAAACAAATAAAGACAGAATTTGAAAACGCTGCCAACAATCACATTTCTGCAAACAAAGCAATTTTTGCTTTCTGAACACATCATATCATGTGCTTCCTTGAGATTTCCAAGTAATAACATATGTACATTTTCAGATAGCAGCGCTTATCCAGCATCGGCAGAGGGGGTGATTCAAAAGAACAGAAATAAAAGCCAGTATCTGTACAGACAACTGTGTCGCATCGACAGTGAGTTGAGTCAGCTGGGTCCCTCAGGCTTCCCGAATCCACACAGCTACAAACAGGCGCTGCAGCAAGTCCAGAGCACGAAGGAGTTGCTTGAAGATCAACTCGTTGCATCCAACAGAGGCGTTCCAGATGAACCCACCAACAAAACGTATGAAAGTCACTCTGTAAGAGGACCGCGCTGGTGCAGTTAGATGTCACATCCATCTAGAACATTTTATTTTATCTTGGAGGAATTAACTGCAGTTATAGCTGCTGTATGTCTTTGTTTTAATTATTATAGTCACTGCAACGCTTTTAATTGATAAAATTAAAACTCAACACAAAGAAGGGGGTTGTTGAGGCACTCTGAGGATAAAATCATATAACAAATTTGTTCTCAGCAAGCAAAACACACCAACGTGTATCGACTCAAAGTCTTCCTCAGGGACTGACACATGCACAGCCTAGATTAAATACCCTGGCTCGCACTCAACCAGCACCTGTGTGCAAAGTATTTTAAAAAGACAGACGTCCCTACATATCAAAGCAATAACAAAACCTTAGCAATGTTCTGTAAGAATTATCAAAGAAACTACAAAAGCAATATGAGAAAAAGGACCAACAAACACCATTTTTAAACTCACAGTAAATCAAAATAGAGTACAATTCAATCATTAAAATACGTTGAGCTAGAGCACAAAATTTCACTAGTCAAAATATGCATGAGCCTGCACAGTAAGCTATTAAAAAACTTCAAAAATAAACAATAAAATCTATGAGAGTTTCAAGATTGTGACTTTAAATTTTAAATCATCAAAATGGGTGTTCTATGAGTGAAACAACTGAAGTCGAATTGCTGATCTGCAGAGGTAGAAAAAGTGCCAAAGTACAAGTACAGGTTCTTAAAAAAATACTAGTAAAGTATTAAGTACACTCCAGAAAAAGCTGACTCAACTTCTTTACTCAAGTAAAAGATGAAAAAAAAAAAAGGCTCTGAAATGTACTCAAAGTGAGAAAGTAAAAAGTAGCTCTTTGAAGCACATTTATATCAAGTATTTTTATGCAAAGCTAAATGAACTTTGTGCTATTACTCGATCAGTTTCAGATGATGGATCTATGTGTCATCAGCTCAAATTCAAATTCATCTCTGCTACATTTCATGTAACCTAACTCTGAGCATGAACCTCTTCTTCCTGTTCTGTTTTCCTCTTTTCCCTTTATGCTCGCTCCTGCAGCCAGGAATTGTGCAATGCTCCAGCCCACTTTAACCCCTGACTATAGCGTGATGAATGATGCAAAAAATATGAGTTATCAAAAGCTTTTGCTTCTTTGATCTCTTTGTATGTGTAAAGCCCCAGTGATAGATACAACAGTAGGATTACTTTTCTTTGTTACTGTTTCCACCATTTAGCCTCAGATCACTCAGATGTTTGAAGGCAGCTGTGAAATAAAAACTTCCCTCAGTTGTCTTAAACCTAAAGTAATGAGCCTGGTTTGAAAATGTGAGGAGTGAAAAGTATAAATATTTGGGTAAAAATGTAGAGAGTAAAAGTTAACAGCTGAACATAAATACTCAAGTACTTGACTAACAAAATAGTTGTACTTCCTACCTCTGCATTATTGAGCATATTCAATTCAATTTTTCAGTTCAGTTTTATTTATATAGAAGGAAATCACAAAAGCAGTCACCTCACGGTGCTTTATATGGTAAAGGCCCTAAAGTAGTATAATATGGAGAGCAGTACTGATTTAAACATGTATACACGATGTTAGGATAATGGCCTATTACTTTGCAAAAACATTTTTACTCGTTGCTCTGTAAAGTTACATGTTAATGCTATTGAAATTCATATTGGTGAAAGGAAATGTAATTTTACTTGCTGTTCTGTCGCTCCGTGTTTACAGGGCCAGTCCGTCAGACAGCACTGATGGCGATGGCGGTGAGAAAGAAAGGACGTGCTGTCACGGAGGTCTACCCTGGTGGTTTATTTTTTTTGGCTGGCTGCTGGTGATCGCAACCAGTGTCGTATCAGGCTATTTCACAATGCTGTATGGCTTGAAATTTGGAAAACCGCGCTCCATAAGTTGGTTGGTATCCATGGTTATTTCCTTCTTTCAGAGTGTCCTCCTTATTCAGCCGCTGAAGGTGAGAAGAATATTTGTCTGTTATATACATACCCTTAAGATTTCCTGCACAGTTAAAATTTCAGTTACACAATTTTCTTATAATTTAACGTTTCTAATATAGATAATTTTTTGTAAATTTAAATATTTACTCGAAATAAACCACTGCATTTATTCATGCCTCTCAAAACAGGTGCTTTGTTTTGCAATCTTCTTTGCTCTTGTGATTAAAAAAGTCGACGAGGAAGATTTTCAAAATGTTCAATTTGAAAGAAACCACAGAAATATCGGTAAAATATCAAGAAAAACTCTAGAAAGCATACTTTCTTCCTCTTTTGTTTAAATACTGAACATTTCTTTGGCAACAAACTTCATCCACAGGTGAACAAATGTTTGTGCGCTATGGCAGTGTTTATGAGCCGCCGCCTCTGGCAGACGTAGAAAAAATGAGGAGGAACAGGATGCTGGAACAGAAAGCCTTTGCTCTAATCAAGGAGATACTGAGTAAGTAGACACACAAAGAACTGCGAATTAACCTGATTAAAACAAATTGAAGGAAATCTTCATCAATGACAGAAACTGCAGAAAAAATATAATAATTTTGACTACAACTTATCTTCCAGGGATGTTGTAAGTCTGACCTGAAATTAATGCTGGGTTTGACTTAATCCCCCTGTATGTTTCAGTCTACATGGGGTTCCTGTGGATGCTGCTGCTGGTGGCACATGGCCAGAGAGATCCAAATGCTTTTTACCTAAACACACACATTAAACAAAGCTTCTGTGGAAACGCCCCAGCCACCATGGCAATTCAAGATGTATTCAACTGGGCCAAGACATCTCTACTCAGTAACCTCTTTGGACAATATCCAGGTAAATATTTGTTACAAAAAGGACAGTCAAACAGGACAGGGCTTCGCTTTTATCTCTGTTGTAGACGTTGCCAGTTACTGGCCACCTCCTCTAATCTGCAGGCTCAGTAGACTGTTATCAAAGGACTATGGGAGAAATGGTTTTGCAAAGAGCAACAAAAGTCCATACAAGGATGTTATCAGAGTGGAAGTGGAAAGCATTTGATGACTTTCAACAAGGAGTCATGATTTCTGACCTAAAGCTGTTTGTTCTGCTTCACTGTGTAGTTGTGTTCTTACTTTTAAGGGTTAGTGTTGAACCTTTTTTAGAACGTTCCAATAGCAGAACATACAGAAGGGATATAACCATATCTACACAAACAGGTGAATTCGTTCGAGGTTCGATTCGATGGTTTGTTTTGTTATTTCATAAAAGTTTTAGAAGACTTTTTTGTTTATTAAAGCAGAACACATGAACAGATTAATCCAGCTTTATGTCAAAGCAACTGTTTTGTGTCAAGTGTCATTTCATTAATATCTGTGTATTATTTTAAATATTGTGCCTTAAGTCTTCACTGAGATTGCAGTGATATCAAATCTGAACTTTGGTGCAGGAAGTACAGATTATTATTATCTATTATTCTATATTTCCTGCCTCTTTTTTACATGTGCCCTTTTATCCCTCAGCCGTTAAAGGTTGGTGGAGTACTGCTGTCACCCTGCCAGGTGGTCGGGCAGGCAGCGTGGACACCCGACTTTGTAAACACGATAACTTGAGAACAAGATAAGCTAGGACTTTCAAATAGGTGCATCAACTAAAAGGATTACACACATTCAGATCTTGAGGTGAAGGTCAGAGGTCTAGTTTTTTTTTGTAATCTTGTCAACACAAGACACATGACAGTTTTCCCAGCGTATGTTAGAGTGCTTTGACTTGAACCTTTTAGCTAAATCTATAAATATATACATGCTACACAAAGGTTTCTCATCCTGAACTGCAATGATCTTTGCAGCTGGGCAGGTGCGTGTAGGTACGACCTAAAAAGACCGTAGCCTACTCAAATGAAAAATAAATGACAATAAGAGTGAAATGTAAAATACTGTTCCAGGATTCATCACTGATGGAAACTCGAAGCTTCTGGGAAATGCACGTCTTCGTCAACTGAGAGTGAAGAAGAACTCGTGTGAGATTGCAGGCCCCATGCTAAAGATGGTGCCAGGCTGTAGCGCTCCATATTCATGGGAAGCGGAGGACATGGGCTCCTACGGACCTGGCTGGAACACGTCTGTTGGAAATAACATCTCTGCAAGCATTTCCAGTCCCTGGACGTACCAGACACACTCTCAACTCAGAGCTTACCCCGTCTGGGGAGAATTGGCGCTCTACAGAGGGGGAGGCTTTTCAGTGGAGCTCGGCCCAGATTTACAAACTGCAACCAGGTCTCTACCTTAAGAAAAATCGAAAGAATACCCAAGATGCTGTGTTGTCTGAGAGTTAATAGTCTTCTTGGTTGGTTTTAAAATGAACATATGGAATATATTAACAACATTAATTCTTTAATATTTATCCACAGCACCCTCGACTATCTGTTCAACAATATGTGGTTCGATGTTTACACGCGGGCCATCTTTGTTGAGTTCACTGTTTATAATGCAAATGTGAATCTCCTCTGCATTGTCACGCTTTTGCTGGAGTCCCCTGCTGTAGGTAAGGAGAACTGTAATGCATCTAAAGCTTTGTTAAAGAAGACTCTGTAGAATGGATAACACATCAGACTTTATTACTTTTCATATGTAACTCCAATCTACATTTATTCCCTTTTTACACCTTCATACTGAGAACTCCGACAGCCTATGATTGAGATCACATTAAGCTGTACGCATGTAAGTGAAGTCTTCTCTCTGACTTTGCAGGAGCCTTTCAGTTAAACAGTGAAATGCAGAGTGTTCATCTCTACCTGCCAGGTGACGGCCTCCACATCTGCATTATGACCGCTGAGATCATTTATATGCTTTTCATCCTCTATTACATGTTCAATCAGGTAAATACAAACATTATTAATACATAATGGAATCTAGTTCCAAATATTGTTTTCTATGTATCCAGTTAAATAGACTAACTTCATTTAGCCAATGAGGTTTAAACAAACTTAGAATGGCATCATCATCACTTTTTGGTTTCCTGACCATTATTTTCCTGAGAGTGAGCAGTTACTGTTTGTTACTGTGATCGGCAAGAATTAGTCTAACGTGGATTAACTACGAGTGTCGTGAGGCTGAACAGTCAATGAAGCCACTCTGCATGTTTCTATTAATCATTTTTTATTAAGTCGTTACTGCCTGTTAATCCAGAAGCAATTAGCAGCTAAATCAGAGCATGTCAAATGCTGTGCAGCTCTACTGTACTGTAATTACGAGGAAATTACAAAGTTGATGCTGATATAATAGCATTAATCTTATTTGTCATTCGTAATAATCCTTTTGCTTTTTAGTGCATCACTGAGTCACATGTTAATCACGTCGTTTCACTTCATTCAGGCTCATTGTGATCGTGGGTGTCGACCATTAACTGTAATTTCTGAGCCAATAAGCTCCTATTGTGTGCCCTTTGTTGCAGTCCCTTAAGATTATTATGGTGACATAAGCACACAGCTTATTTTTCTGTATCTGTCAAGATGTCATGTAGCTACACCCCCTCTGAAATTCACCTGGAAGTCCCAAAGACTGCATGTTAAATTAACTACAGTAAGAGCTTTAGACAACATATAATCTCAATTATTAAGGAGCCTAAATATCCATAAATGTGCTATTTTTATCTATCTTTGTATTGCTCTCTCATAAAGATTTTTAGGGTTAGATAAACAGTATACAGTAAATGCTTATACTTAAAAACCTCTTATGTGAGCACTGAGACTTTCATTAAATATGATCAGATTATTTTCACATGCATTTGGACATCATGGGACAAATCAGCACTTTTATTTGTGCAAATTGTCAACATATGTTTGGTGGTGTTCCTGCTAAAACCTCAACAAATGCATGAGCATGCAGACAACCCCCTGCTGGATTACATAAGAGCTGTTGCTCTCACTTCTTTTCCTGGAAAGGGGAAATTAATGAAGCAGCAGCGCTGGCTTTACTTCAAGAACAAATGGAACCTTCTGGAGCTTTCTATCATCCTGCTGAGCTGGAGTGCCGTGGCCGCCTTTATCCAGAGGACTCTGATCACGAACCGTGATATAGCATACTACCAAAACCACAACGACAAGTGAGATTAACGTAAAACTCTGCTTTAATTTTAGCTGTTTAACTGCAAAAACATGCCTCTCCCATGCTTGGTGTTATTTGGTGGGTTATTTTTTTACTCCATATCTTTCCTGTTTTTATAGGTTTGTCAGTTTTTACCAGACAGGCACATCAGAATCACTTTTTCAATATCTGATGGCTTTCCTGGTCCTGCTCGCCACTGTCAAACTGTGGCACCTGCTTAGACTTAACCCAAAGATGAACATGATCACAGCTGCACTGCAGCGAGCCTGGACCAGCATAAGCGGTCTTCTTCTGAGCATTGTGATCATGTTGCTGGCTTATTCCATTGCAGTAAGTATCTGGTTCCTTTGACCAAATCTTGACTCCTCGCAAATAAATAATTTTGTATTTACATGGACAAGAACAGAACGCTTTTTGGTGGCGGTCGGGAGGGTTATTAATTACAGCCTAATCTTAAAAGTAGAGACTGTGTCTGTCTCCTGAATCTGGTTCCACTGAAGAATACGCTGAGGTCTTTAAGATAAGATGGGGAATGCTTTTTCAAAACCTTGTATCTGAGGAGAAAACTATAACACTTTGGACAACTTGAAAAGAGAACTTCTCTCAGATTTAACGGTGCTGCTCAGTCAAAGCAAAAAATGTTCTCTAAAGCCTTTAATACAAAGATTTAAAAAATATATCTATTCTGAAAATTAATTAAAAAGATTAATTTATCTTAATAATTTGAGAAAATACACTTTTTAGTAAAATAAACAATGTTTTAAAAGTCAAGAACTCAACTCTTTGGAAACACTGAAAAATCTGACTTTGTCTAATCCAGCGGTCCCCAACCCCCGGGCCTCGGACCGGTACCGGTCCGTGAGTCGTTTGGTACCGGGCCGCGAGAGTTGAGGCTCAGGTGCAAAATGTATGGTTTTCAGGGTTTTTATCGGTTTTCAGCGTCATTTTGTTATCGTTTTTATCGTTAACTTGGTTTTCCTGGGTCTTTTCACGTGTGTTATGAATAAATCTTCTTTTTTCGGTACCGGTACTAGTTTTATTTTGTTGTATTTATCCGCGACACCTTAAAGGCCGGTCCGTGAAAATATTGTCGGGCATAAACCGGTCCGTGGCGCAAAAAAGGTTGGGGACCGCTGCTCTAATCAATATAATTTAAATTAAAACCATCCAGTAGTTTGATAAATTACATAAAAGTCCAAAACAAAAGGACAGCTGATGCTAATCTTTTCCTCTGTGTGCATTAGAGGACTTGAATAGTGATGAGCGTTGACTGGAGAGCCGGGGCAGGTGGTGTTCATTACATTCGTAAATTTAAACTAATTATTCTGTTATAGTACAGTGTCATTATGCTTTAAACGGTGCGTGAAATACCAATCAAGTAACCTCACTCCATTATCGCCGAGATTATTTAATGAAAATTGAAATCCATGATGGGCAGGAATGATCTCAGCGGTCCTTCTGCTGATCTAATGGTAATTTCTCTCCTTCAGTGTAACGTGATTTATGGCTGGAACCTATCCTCTTATAAAACTTTCATGGATGCTCTCATGACTCTCATCGGTTTGCAGATAGGCATCTTTAACTATGATGAGGTGAGAATGATCGTCTCAGGATTTGCACACATTAAGTCAACATTTTTCTTTTTCTGTCATTTCCAATTTGGTCAGTTAGTTTCAAAGTGGTAATAACATCTAACTGAGGCACTATCTTCTAGGTCCTGGCCAGCAATCCTGTGCTTGGTGGGTTACTCATTGGTTCCTGTATAGTTTTTGTGACATTCGTGGTGCTCAATCTCCTGCTCTCGGTGATCCTCATGGCATTCAATCAGGAGCAAAAATACCACAAGGTAACAAAAATCAGGATCATTTTTCTGTGTTTTAGTTATCCTCACCATACAATTTTAATCATTCAGTAGCAGTTGAGTTGTTCACGCATTTTAAATGTTACTGAATAACTCAGCTGATATTGTTGCTCTAGAGGAATAAAAGCTGAGCATTGGCCCAATGGACTTTTTAACCAGGTTTTTTGAGACAATATTGGCGAGTGAGAGGAAAATAGGAAAAGAAGTGTACCAGTTCTCAAAATAAATGGGATGAGAGGATCTGTTGTAACTACACAGGGATAAAGTTGATCACATAGGAGAGTTGCTGAAGCTAGGTTAAGAGGAGAAGTGATCATCGGTGAGCAGCAGTGTGGCTTCATGCCACAAAAAAGCACAGGTGCCTTTTTGTGCTTCACTGTGTCTTTGTGGATCTAAAGAAATGTATAGATAGGATAAGTGGAAGCGAATGGATGGATGGATGGATGGATGGATGGATGGATGGAACGAACGAACGAACGAACGAACTTTGGTTCAGACTAAATCAGAGCAGCAAGGAGCTGCCATGAGGAACACCTGAAAAATAGGCCCATAGATGTGAAGGAGGATGTTCAGAGGGTTGATGTGTCACAAGAGCATAGAAGCGATAGGCTGAGGTGCCAAAAGAAGAAAAAGAAGTAACATTTGCTTATTTTCAATAAACTCTGGTTCCCAGTGTAAAGTGTACCCAGAGAAAAGATGACATGTCCTACAAAAAGCTGCAGGTTTGACACTGTCAGTCTGTTCTTGGCACTTTTTTTCCTGTTGTGTGATTTCTTAAGTTTACTTTGCAAATATCCACATTTTACTCCAGCTGTTTCCAGGCCACAGGCAGCAACCATCTCCCATTTCTTTAAAAATCTAAATGCAACAAAATTTTACCCAGTCATGCACCTCCTAAGCACATGGGCAAACTTCACTGAAATTTAAGCTTAAAAGCCAGACGAGTGCACCTCACAAAATCATTACATTCAGGTTTTGAGTGGACAAGTAGCAGACTTCCTTATTATCCAATCAGAAGTCTCTGTGTGTGCGTTTTTAACAGTAAATGAAATACAAACCGCGCTGTAACTCGCAAACTGAAAGGTTGAGGAATTAAAAGTCAAACTCAAAATATAAAACACTAAAGTCATGAAACCAAACTGGAACAGCCACAAATTCCTAACACTTGGCTGTGTTGCTTCCATTTTTATGGGTGTCAGTTATGTAAAAGCAGAGAAGGCAAACGCTTTGTCGTGTCAGTAAAGTGCACCATGATCTCGTAGAGTAATTATTAAGAGAATTTGCTTCTGTGACAGAACATTTATTCATCAGCAGAGACCCGACAGCTAAAAGACGACAAAAAAAGTGAAGTCAGTTTAAAAGTATGATTGTGAATGTCTGAGAAATATATATTTATGATGCTAATTAGCAATAATTCCTGTAAAAGGTTTCCTTGTACTCTAGTTTAAGCTACAATTTGCTGTCCAGACTGTTTGTTGGTATTTGTTAGACAGAAGCAGCCTGCTGTGTGCACTGATGGGATTGGAGATAATGCTGATATTGTCAGGCAGGAACCGTCTGGCTCGCTATCTGAAAACGCTAAGATTACATTTCTAAAGTTGTCACTTTGTGAGTAAGACAGCCCATATGGTTCCTGAAAACACAACTTAGTCTTTACACAGAAGTCGAGAGCAGCAGCCAGTAGCTTTAGGTAATGACATCAAAGTATCCCGTAATCTGTGAGTGCAAGAGTGAATTTTATTATTTCCACCATCGTTCATGTTGTCTGCTTCCTGTCCTTTTTGATAGAAATGTGTATTTATCTCAGGAAGAGTACTGACTTCTTATTCAGGAAAGACTGTGAACTCTGCAGCTTCTGCTTAAATGCACTGAAAAAAATGCAATTGAGTGGTTGTTACATTTACAAAAGTCTAACTTGTGATTTGAAGAAAATAATTTCATGTTTCTATGGTGAACGTAATTAAATCATGTAGGATCTGCATGAAGTTCAACAGCTTAATTTGTTCTTGTTGAGATGACACGATAGGATCTAGTAAGAGTTTCTCACTTGTCACGAAAGTCACAAGATCACATGAGATTTCAAACTGCAGGAAAATCGTTGGAGTTATAAGAGGCAGACAACTATAAACACACCATGTGTGCTATTGCTAATTATTGTGGTTTAACCTGTCAAGGATAAAAAGGTACAGAAAATTCTGCATCAAGCCTTGAAATCATAGCTTTCCTACTTTTGCTAAACCTCGATTGGTGGCGTGGTGGTTAGTGCTGTGGCCTCATAGCAAGAAAGTCATGGGTTCAAATCCACAATCTGGCTAGTTTGCAGTGGGTTCCTTCTGAGCACTCTGGTTTCCTCCCACAGTTACCCATAAGTGTGAATGTGAGTGCAAATGGTTGTTTGTCTCTATGGGATAGACTGGTGAGCTGTCCAGAGTGTACCCTCCTCTTACCCTATCACTTCTCGGTTATGCCCCTGCAGCCCAGATAAAGATAGAAGGGTGGAAGTTGTTGTAAATCCCTTCACGTCTTATGTTAACCAGACTCTAGACCAGGGGTCTCGAACTCCAGGACACATCTAAAACCTGCAAGTTTTAGATGTGTCCTTGATCCAACACAGCTGATTTAAAGGCTAAATTACCTCCTCAACATGTCTTGAAGTTCTCCAGAGGCCTGGTAATGAACTAATTATTTGATTCACGTGTGTTGACCCAGGGTGAGATCTAAAATCTGCAGAACTCCAGGCCCTCGAGGCCTGGAGTTCGAGACCCCTGCTCTAGACTTTGTTGAACATTGAACATACAACATGTAGTATTTAAGTGACCAAGTAGTATTAGGATAAAAGTTAGTGAATAGTGTTGGAATAAAGTGACAAAAATGTGAAGGATTAAAATATTCCAAGACCTCATCTTACGTCATCTAAACATGTTTCAATCATGTTTTATCGACACAAAATGCACAGGTTTATTGAATATGAATAAGTTGTGTTGCTGTAATTTAGTTGTTTAAGTTTCTGCCAAAGCAAAACAATTGTATGCAACCACTGTCCACTATTGAACCCGACATGTTCTTTTTTTAAGTGCAATGTTACATAACTGCAATTATTCAGATTAACTCAGGGCACTTTGGAGGGTTGTGAAAGCTTTTAATGATCTATTTCACTGGTGGCAATTAAGAGACATTACATAATTCAGTAGTCAGTGATACTTGTTTGCACAGTTTAACTGAGACAGCTAAGAGAATGCAATCAAATCTTTCACTAAGGATTCCAGGTTAAAAATATTCTGCAGAATCAAACTGACCAAAAATTGCCTCCAGGCCAGCAGGCTGTTTCTGCCAGTTCGATTTCGACCTGAGGTGTAATTCTCAGTGTTAATTAAAGCGTTCTGCATTCAGACAGTGTCCATTCTGTTAACTTTTAATGGTTTTCTAAGTCGCTGAGTGGGACTCCTAAACAGGAGTCACAGCAACAGTTCAGTTCCAGCATGGTTTATTTATTTATTTCTATTTTTAAAATATATGCTTTTACAAAGGGAAAACATTGATGTAAGTGAGGAAGCACAGCGGTTTTATTGTTACAAAATAACCGTAGGAGCTGAACTGTACACCCACATTTTAGGATTTGTATTTCAAACTTGCACGAATATGTGCAAATGGTCAAAAGAGCTCTCGCCATCTGCAGTACTTTATTATGGATTTTGAATCTGTGCTTCCTTACCCAGCCTTCTGAAGAGGAGGAGATTGTCGACCTTATGCTGATGAAAATCTACAGTCTTTTTGGCATCAAACGTAAACATGCAAAAGACACCCGGGAGTCCGACGTGAGCGGCGGATGTGGCTTGGCCCAAAATAACAGCAGAAATATCTTAAGCACTTCTCCTGATTCCAACATTTTTCAGATGTCTGACAAATACGTAAACCTCTAAGGACGTACTGTACTTTTATTCCACGGTGTTCTCTCCTATCCTTTTTTCCCTCTTCTCGAGAGCATGCTGCACTGTTTTGTGAATATGTGTAATAGCTTATCATAACACACAGAAATACATTATTTGTTGAGATAAATAAGATGTTTAGAGCATGTTGGACTCAGTGTTGTTTTTATTGCAACGATGATACTCAGGTTGCCAAAAACATAAGAACTATATGAGTATTTCATACATATATTGTAAGTATATAGTTTGTATGTGTCTCGTAATCATACAATCAATGTTTCAGCTTTAAAATAAAGAGAAAAATGCATTCATGTGTGTGATTCATGTGTTTGTGTCTAATAACCACTGTTATTCATTTAATATCCCCCAAACAGCTTTGATTTCTCTAAAACACGCTGTCCTTGCAGGTCGAGCTTACTGAAACTGGTTTGTTCACACAGTATCCACAGACACTGCAAAATAGATGAGAGTCCATCACCAAGCAGATCGCAGCCAAACACACGCAGGCATCATTGGAGAGGCTTCGTCTTTTGCAGACTGTCAGGTTCTGACATCAGTGATGGATCTCATTTCTCACTTGTCATGTTTGGATGGTTTAAAAGACATTTTCATGCACTTTTGAGATATTTAAATTCCAACCACTTTTCATGAACCTAACCAAAAAGTTTTTGGTGCATAAAACTAACCAGTAAATTCAAGGTAACATAAATTAGGCAAATCAGAAAAGCAAAAGTCTTAAATGTAACATAAGCTGCAGGGTCAACAAGACTCAACTTCCACTCAGCCACAACAGCTTTAACAAGCCAAAGTCAGGCAAAGATCATTTTAATATTCAACTCAGAGCTGCTAAACATGGTTCAGGTCCGTCTTCTCTATTCTTTTTCCATATGAGGGTGCTTTGTCACGCTGACCCAGAAAAAAGGAAGTATGTTTCTGCAGTGTCACTAAGTGAGAAACATTAACAGATGTGTGTGAGTTAAAATGTACTAGAGCGTGTGCTTTGAGCCACTGTGGACGTCAGGTTGTGTCTGAGAGACACAATGTTGGATTGTCAGCGTATAAGAGCACACTCGATCATGCAGCAGCGAACAGCGCAGAGGTCGTGACAGTTTCTGGTGGTTTTGAAAGTCAAGCATAAGAACATGCTGAGCACCCTTGAACATTATGAAAAATGAAAGTTAATAGGATTACCTTCTGACAAAAAGCTTACACAGTGTAAAGACAGCTGTTCACGAGGACTTTATAACCAACATTTTGAGAACCCCAAAGTGTACATCAAAGAACAAATCTCAGCAATTACTTTCTGAAAATAAAACTGCAATACTCTGGAAATCATGCAGGGTTGTGCAGGTCACATTCATAGATGAAGTCTAGGCCTATTATATGGCAAATTCTGCCTCTGTTGACATCCTGCAATCATCCTGGGTCCAGTAACTAAAGCAATTCAAATAGGTTCTCAACAACTTAGCAAGCAGTTTACTGACTGTTGCATGGGAGATGGGTGGTCTCGTAGGGTGTCTTGCATTGAAATCTACTGCAATGACCTGGTTACTGCGTTCACCAGATATCAACACGATTTCGATCCACTCCTCACGTGCTAACCTCTTCGACATGTCAATGGCTGTGAACAAAGAGAAACTTGTAAATAACTCATGAAAGAATAAAGTTACGTTGAAACCAAGCACACCATTGTTTTTCTTGTGACATTACCAATAAGTTTGATGTGTCACATGGCCCTCTTCCTACTGAAAAAACAAAAGTTGGATCCAAGATGGCCGACTTCTAAATGGCCACCATGGTCACCACCCATCTTGAGGAGTTTGCCCCTCACATATACTAATGTGCCACAAACAGGACTTTAATATCACCAACCATTCCCATGTTATTACGGTGTATCCATATAAATGGCCCACCCTGTATATTTATATGTGTTATTTCATTAAAAAACCTTAAATTTAACCCACAACACAGTAAAGTATTGTTTCCAAAGTACTTTTAAAAGCATGTCCTGCCACTCCCATGACAAAAATAACTAAAATGTTTGCTGATTTTGCCCAAAGATGTTTATTTCCCCTCAATCAAAAGACTGCAACACATATTACCTCATAGTTCTGAGGGGACTTGGACTCAGGGTTTAGAGTTTTAATTTCAACTTCACTGCACTCCGTATTTTCTCTTTGGTTCTTAACTTGTGTTACATGCAGTAAAACTTTACCCTGAGGAGCCAGGGTCAGTAATAGAAGCTTGATGTCTTGAAACACTGCTTTGAAGCGTGGTTCAAAACATCACATGACCATGGCTAATTGAGGCTTTGGTGCATTTCATGCCAGTTTCAACATTACCTGCTGCTTCTGGGCAGGTGAAGTTCCAGGAAGCCAGTGTCCATCCCATTTTAAGCACTGTAATAAGAAGTTAATGAAACTACCATTTCAATTTATTACATAGTAACACATGCATATGTATAAAAAGAAATACCTGATGTCTACCTGATTATTACCTACCTGATTATTTTTACCATGTATTGTAAAAAATAAATAGAGATTATTCATTCACTTAAACACCAGAATCCAAAGTATAATTAAATAAATATGGACTTATTCAGTGATGATTATAGAGAAGATATAAGGAGTGAGAAAAAAACAGACTGATGATGAGCTCCTCTGACTCATTTCCGTAGAGATAAAGTGGCACTGCACTGTAAATTCATTAATTTATCTCAAGAGAAATCGCCTCTGCTTTCAGAGAGGAAAATAAAACAGGCAAATATTTTCAGCTCTAATGCCCGTCTGTTCTCTCTTCTCCATTTCTAACAGAAAATGTATGAATAATAGTGAATTCACCCTCAGGTTAACCCATTACCCACATTTTGTGTGTGTGTGTGTGTGTGTGTGTGTGTGTGTGTGTGTGTGTGTGTGTGTGTGTATATGAAAAAATTGCTTTGTCTGTCATTGTTTCACAGATTAGCATTATCAAGACCAGACAATATCAAAAGTGGCCTTTAGGTGTCACTGTGGAGAAGGTTGTCGCATTGATACAATTGTTACAAATGCTACAATATAATTCTAGCACAAATGCTTTGAATGTGTCTGTGTTTCACAACACCGGCTCGCTTTGCCCGTCACTGGCCAGCCTGCACCTGGCCGCACTCAGCAATCAGCCACCAAATAGTATAAAGGCTGTAAGAGCTGCTTGGTAAGTAAGAGTACAAACTGGCCACGAGGGTGGAGACTTGTGGCAGTGAGCCATGTTAGTTTTTGACCTTGAGTCTAGTTTTGTTGTTGGCACTACTAGTGAATAGTTTACAAGCATCAGGAGGGTTTCTTTTGTTTAACCATCCTTTTCTTTTGAGGATATTTGCATCTGCGATTGTCCTTTTCTTTAGCTGATATAGCAGCATAGGTCTCTTTTTTGTTGGGACCTTTGTAATAAGAGGATATTATTTATATAAACTACTCTGTTTGGCTTCTTTCTTTTCCTGGCACTTACTATTGTTGTTCTCCTCATCCCCAGTCAGCTTGTTGTGGTTACATTTTCATCCTTGTGTTACGACTCGCATTTCTTAATTGTTCTTTATTATTTTGAGTTTCAGTTTTTAGGATAAAATAGGATAAGTATACTTATCTTCACTATTACTGTGATTTGCTTGCCTCCACTTAATGAAAACTGTTCTGAATTTCTTCTTCTTCTTCTTTTAATTCACCAGTGCAAAACCTGTTTTTTTGTTACAGTAACACTTATACAGCTAAATTAGAATGTGTAGTGAAATGTACTACACTGTCTAATGAACTAGTAGCTCAATCATAGTCTAGTCTGATTATTGAGTAGTGATGGGGGGTGTTATTTCGAACTTCTGAAGTGACGTGTATCAACCTTAAATGTAGTTTATTCTCTGCTGTCAAAGCCATCTTCTTCCTCACAATCCTCATTTTTGGGTAGCATAGAGCAGTGTAAAACAGGAATATCACATATATCATGATCATGCGAGTACATATTTCAGCTCTGTTTTCACAGGAATCATGGGTGTGAACCAACCTAAGGCTGAATCCAGGGGGAGCTTCGCTCCTCGTAATAAGACACGGACTCCCTTGGACACATGATTTGTGAAAGTTTGAGGGAGGTGAGGACTCTAAAGTACTGACAAATGCTATTTTTACAATGTATTTCTTTTCTTTTCTCGGTATCTTCATCATTATCATGGATATATAAATTAGGCTGTTACTGATGTATTATCCATGCATAAGTGTGATTCATCACTAATTCATTTAATAAGGATACCAATATGCATGTTGTTTTTTCCAAAGAGGCTGACTTTCCTTCTCGCCTTTGTAAAAGAAAAAAAGAGATGAATGAAATGAACCTCCACATTAATATTTTAAAAGTGGTTTGAAGGTGCAGGGTTATTTATTTTACATAGGAGGATGTTTCATGTCTTCTCTTAATTATATTATTCATAATCCTAATACAAAAAAGAATGGAAACATTAAAAGACAGTTTTTCAGAAAACAGATATTAAAGGAATAAAAATAGAGTAGTGACTCAGTTTTCATTTCAGGATCCACAAACAAAAAGACCTTTTTCTTATCATGGTCAGGATTTCATTTTCTTTCCTCTCCTTGTAAAATTATTCTTATTATTCTTATTATTTATTTATTTTTACCAAAAATACTTATGGCCAGCATAAACAGTCTCTCCCTCCTCACTGCTCTCCGTGCCTTCCTGATCCTGAAAGTAACAGTGTCTTTTTCTTTTTCTAATTTTTGTTATTCACATTCATTCCAGGCATGATGTCATTGTTATAGTGATTCAGCATTGTTATATATATATATATAACTATAAGCTTTTCGGAAAGGAAAGTCTGAAGCCTAATCTGAAAAGCAAAGAGGATTTCTGTCTCCTGATGCTCCCAATTCTTACTACCGTTTCTGAAGCCTGTTTAAATTGAATATTTACTGCACTGTGCATATGTTTCCTTGCATTTGTCACACATAACACATTCCCTTTCTTTCTCTCATTCTTTGTGTGCTCATGTTTAATCTGGGAACGGGGCTTTAGTCCATATAAAGCGCACAATCTGAGAGAGAAAGGCCTCTCTCATCTTCACTGTGCCTTCTGTATTTTATCGCCTGTGTCAACTGCCAAGTTGCAAAACCAGGCTGAACTACCACAGCCTCTGCTCCCATTTGTTATAGAATTATGATGATTTATTTATGTATGTACAGTGCTTTTAGAGAATCTTTGCGAAAGACCTCAAGAAACTTGAGTTCAAACATCTAGTTCAGTTTGATAAGTGCCTTGAAAAA